TTTTGCTATCTCCCACTACTCTCTGGATTCGGTGAGTGTGTGTAGCACGCATTGTGGCGCAGATGTAGTTCAGTTGTCGTGGGAGGCAGACGGCAGGGGACTATTCACTATCAGAAATCCCAGGTGGCTAACGCAGTGTTAACAAACTTGTAGATAAGATATATTTAAAAACATGTATAATTGTGAATTACTAGTGTATTTAGTTTGACAAACATATGGCTTTTTATCTGTTCATGAATCCTTTTTTTCTACACCAAAAGGGTATAGCGGTCGGAAATATAAGCAAGGAAAAGAATCGATATGATTATTCTTCGTCATGTTATTTACAAAACTGTTATGGTCCGGTTCATTGTAAGTGTTAGTATGAACAATCAGGTTTAATAGGAAGAACAATGTAGTCTCGACCAGTATCACTATTCCAATGTCTTGCAGTAATTGTCTGAACACGACACTGTTTCGGACTGCCTCTGACTCGACTCTTGACTCGACTTGAACTACTGACTCAACTTGAACTACTGACGATATTCAGTCACCCCTCCCCACGAGGGTGTCATGTGGCACAAGGCCTTTTTAACGTGGGCATTCCCGAGCCATTAGGCTCGGCCAAAAAATAGCCCATTTGAACCCGTATAAACGGGTTCAGGGCCGGTTTTACCTCCCCGAAGGAGACTCCGCCCTTCGGCGTAGCCTCCTTCGGGTTCCTCTCGCCCGTAGGAAGAGAGTTGAACCGTGCAGTCAGTTCAGAGGTGAACGACTGACTCCTTGCCTACTCCTGAGGCGCAGTATTAATTAAGTATGGAATAGTTCATTATTATTATTATGGGTAAGATTCCATAACAAAAACTTAGCTCAAGAACGCGAGTTTAGGGGTACCCAGTGAGGATAGAACTCACAACCAAGTAGTGCCGACCAACCAGTATAGCTCGCTAAACATTCGAGGCTCCCAGAATTATTTAGTTATACAAGATAAATCTACCAGGAATTTGGTGAAGTGAAGTCTATATTGTCCCCCCTATTATTACTTCAATTACTCTTAAAATCAATTACGATTCAGAGTTTATAGATATTGATTGGAGCCTGTCAAAGGTGACAATGGAAGTAACAGCCTTTTGTTGCTGCTATTTAGGTAGTTATGATTGAGTGATTTGCCCAAAGTTTTCCTCACTTTTATTTGATTATGAAAGAGAGCGCAATGAAGAATGAATCAGAGCGAATAAATACGAAGCAAAGCAAATGTGGTAGAGCTAATTAAAAATATATGTGGTATGTAAAACTTTGTGTAAAAAAATGAATCTAAGAATATTAATAAGAGACTAAGAATCAGACCGTATAATCATCACAGTATTGTCATACATAAAAATGTTAAAATATTTAAGTTCATATTTAAATTAGTAAGTTTATAGCTGAATTGGTAAAATATGTGGAAGTTCATATTTAAAATTATTATATGTAGAATGATATATATATATATATATATATATATATATATATATATATATATATATATTCGAAAATGTCTGTGTGTCACTTTTTCAATTAAAGGGACACAACTCTCTAACTTTCAATACCTTTATCTTCTATATAATAAATGCGAAAATGTCTGTGTACCACACTTTTTCAAATAAAGGGACACAACTCTCTAACTTTTAAAAATCTCATCTTCTGTATAAATAAATGCCAATGTCAGCCCAACATATCACACCATTTTGGGATCAAGTCGGCTATGTGAGCAGATTGAAAATATCCTGGGCCGGATGCGGACCTGGAATCCTGAAATTTTGGATTCCCAAGTTTTCATTACTGCGATTGTTTTCGGCTTATTTTTTAGGTGATTTTTTGTGACGTATTTTTTGTACGATAACAATTTTTATAACTTGGAAATAAACAATTTAAATTAATTGCGAAATTAATTAAATTGAAATTTCCAACGAAAATCACCCATGAAATAAAAGTAATTGTATGTAGGGAAAGTAAGGACCTACGTACATAAAACTGTCTTTAAATTAGAATAGCGGCAGACGAATTATCATTGAATTTTTAAAAGGTAAGCTTAAATATTAATGCAATACTTAAATGCAGCGATCAGTTTTGAGTTTTTCTCTTGTTTATTGTTGCCTATCGCGTACAGCAGCAGTATGCCTTACAAAAAGAAATCTCTGCCAACAGAGGACCAGATTGCAATCAAAAGAGCCAAGGCTGCAGCGAGAAAAAGAAAGTCTCGTGGAAATGAAAACACGGATCAAACGGTTGCCAGGAGATCTTCCAATGCTGAGAATATGCAAAGATTTAGGGACTCTCAAACTCCTGAAGAAGCTGAAGGACCAATAAAAAGCCCTTCACACAGGAGCTTGCTTAAATGCCGCCCGATAGGGCAGATTATAATCTAGTATATATATATATATATATATATATATATATATATATATACACACACACAGAGAGAGAGAGAGAGAGAGAGAGAGAGAGAGAGAGAGAGAGAGAGATCAATGTAAAACATTATTATTATAAATAAAAAAAAAAAGATGATAATAACGATGAATATTATGAATACAATAACATAAAACAATAACATTAAATCTTTGTATAAAATAAATAAAATCAAAAACAAAAATAATAAAAATTCTCCCAGCATGCAACAAAAACTGTTCCTGCTGAAAAACGGATATCTCGCCAAAAGACTTTGACTTCTATATCTTCGCTACCAACATTTGGACAGTCCACACGTCCAACTTCTCTCTCTGGGACATTGCTTGTAAAAATACGAAGGTTTTCTTCCGTTTATTACATGCAATCTTTAAAACACCTGTAACAAAAAACAACAAAAAAGCAAAAAACAAAACAAAAAAAAAAACACACACACACTCACACACACACCAGTAAGTAAAAACAAAAAGTAAATTAAATTTACAAAAAGTAAATAAATTGTATGATATTAATGTACAATTTAACATGGTTTTACTGTTATCCGTGTATGCTTTATTCTTTTGAACTATGTTTTTATTTCCTGTGAACACGGAGCTATTTCCGCTGCTATGATGCGAGTGACCCCTACATCATTTTCTAAGTAGGCTTTCACGAGTGCGCATGTCTGTAAACGAAGTAAACACTGTTTAAAAACCACTAGATATAACGTTTGAAGTAATAATATATATCAATAAAGACAAAAGTAAAACTTATCTTAGCCGACACGTTTCGTCCTCTGATGGACTTTATAAGGACAAATATAAGTATTTTATTTTGCAACAAGTATGTATAAATTAAACGGATGTAAAAATGTCATTAGTTTTTCTGAATTTTTAATTTAAGCACGCTCATGAATATACGTTAGGCTAACTGAAAGTCAAGGTAAATTATGGAAGATGCTAAGTGATGCGATTTAATGTCTAATAAACGAAAGTGAGCAAATGTTGTTGAATTTTATATATATATATATATATATATATATATATATATATATATATATATATATCAGAAAAATTCATTGTATCTTTCAACCTCTTTCCTCTCCACTACGTTTGTTTTTCGTCAATCGATTTAAAAGTGGCAACGTCTCAGAATTTTAACTTTACAAACATACTTTCTGAATGCAAAGTCTCGAGATTTCTGAGCATCTACTTGAGCTCGATGTCTCTTATACTGATATTGTACTTTTGTCTGTATTGTAATCACTGTTTTCATTGTTTTTCATTGTTCTTTACCGTTTTACTTCTGCATATACGCATGCGCATATCGATTTTGCTATTTATACATCGATTGAAAAGAGCAGTTCTGATGATGATGTAGTTAACGAACTGGTCTCAAATTATCAACAATTTCAACCAAGAAATGCTTTTTTTTATTTTTTTTTTTTTAGCCTTGATCTGACTTCTCAGTTTATGTTACCATTTCTTAAATCTCCCGTCTGTTTTTATTCTTTCGTTTTGTTTTTTTTAATCTTTTACTTTCGATCAGATTTGTGAACGCTATTCAGTTCGTTCATCTGCCAGTTCTACTCAAGAGTTGAAGGAAATCTATATTATACAAGAAATGACTCACTATCCGTCACACACTGTCTGTTGTTGATTTTATATGAGCCTATGTAATGTATATGTGTATGTCTGGGTTGTGAGTCAGTGACTTACATATGTTATTGCCGTGTAAATGTATACACGCACACAATTTGACTAAATTTGTAATAAGACGCTGGAAGAATACGTTCCCCTCCTATCCAGTCTGAACAATCCCTATCCTAAACTGAGCAGTAAAATTATAAAGCTGGAAGCAGAAAAAAACTTATTTTTTTATATACTAAAAAAATGAGATAATATTTAAGCTTTTGGAAGTATTCGGTAATAAATAGAATTATTTTTAATTTTTTTAGAAATACCGTTTATGCCTGCCATTAAATCAAAATACGCATGCGTATACACATGCATGGTGGTGTAATGAATAGCGGCTTGAATTGAGGAATCGGATAGCCGAATTAGAATTGCAGTAGAATCCATTACATTCACTTACGTTCTAATACCCTTGGGAAAGGTATGAATCCTCTTCTTCTTCACCCACACAGCTATGGATAAATATATGGGTTCTGGATTCTATAGCCTTAGGTGGCAACCGGTCTAGAAGAAGGAAAACACTGGAGAAAGTACTGCCCAAGAAACACCACTTTTACTGCGGCTGCAGTGCGTGTGGTTGCCCCTACGACGCTGGGGCTCACTTCTCGTTAGTTCCTTAGGGAGTTAAAGAAAATAAAACGAAAGACAAATATACATACAAATTTGAATGAAATTGAAATGAACATCTCTGTCGCATGTACCAATTTCTCTTACTGTCTGGCAACAAACCAAGATTATCCGGAAAAGAGTATAAGACGAAATGTGCGCCTATTTGAAGTTATTTTTATGACTCCTATATTTAAAATGAAGATATTTTCTGCTAAATGTAGCATTTTAAATGAACAAACAATTTAGATTTCAAATTTAATCAGCGAAGCTTCAAGTTCCAAACTAGTATAGGTTTATGGCCAAATCATGTTGAAACACCGTTTCTCGTACGATCACCGAAATTAAGCAACGTCGAGTCTGATTAGTATCTATAACGGTGACCGCTTGGGACGACCAGGTGCTGTAAACTTAGATATGAGGGTGGGGCAATGGATAACGGCTCGAAATTTGAAAGAATCTGGTTCTAACTAGTCGTTATATTCATTTACCCTTGGGAAGGTATGAATTCACGTCTTTTCCCTCCAGCTATGGGTTAATTAGTAGGACTTGTATCAGTAAATCATCATTATTTCCAAAATCATTGTTATCTCCCCAAAATACTTACAATCTAAAAATATTGTCTGGCTTTAAATAACTTGCAAAAGGTTGATAAACTGTAAAAAACAAATCAATCAATCAGCCAAACTAATATCAATAAAGATTTCTTGCGGTCATTCTTTAACCATTCTCCCCCTCCTTACAAGAAAAAAAAGTTAATGAGACGTTTCGCTTGGGTGATTTTTTTCCAATGACAACTTAAAATTAATGAAATGGCCTCTTTATATGGATTAGCCATTTTAGTCGATGCTTTAAGCTCCAAAATGGAATTTTCTGTGAGATTTTTCTTTTATATGCCGTATCTCTCCACGGCGTGGGCAATCATGTCACTCCACAAATTCCTGTCCTTCGTGTCTCTAAGCAATGTTTGTCAATTTACAATGTTTGCCCATGTTCTGATATCCATTTACACAACCTCGTTAAGTAGGTGACCATGGCTCTCCACAACTTCCTATCCTTCGTAGTTCTAAGTAATATTTGACTTTTTATTATCCATCCCGGTCCCTGTTCTGACATCCATTTACACAAGCTTGTTTGCCAGATTACTCACTGCCTTCAATATGTTCAGTGAATGACATTCTCCGAACTTTCATGTCATATTCCAGAATTTTCAAATGTCTTTTTTTGATTCTAAGTACTAGTGATCTTTTGTTACCATTTGTCATAAAAATTCCTCGTTGCTCACATGCTTTGTCTATGGTGTTCTTGTCATTGTTCTGTAGAACCAAATTTCTGATGTTTGAAGTCTCCTGTGAGAAAACTGTCCATCATTCACTGCTACATAGGAGGATTGATATTATATAACAATTCAAGATTATAACTTTTTCTCAACAGAAAGTATATACATTATATAAAAGCAAAACTGAAGTTTCATTTCAAGAATCACTTTTTCAGACAGTCAAGAGAAGTTAAGCACCGAAGACAAAGAAGCAAACAAACAAGTCCTTCTATTGGATCATTGCAGAAATTCATTTTCATTGTTTTTAATTTTTTAATCGGGTACGAACTTTTGCAATGATTTGATATATAGCGGCCAGTTTATTCGTGATCTAATCCATTATATCCTGTAATGAAAATGTATTTTTCCCGGGGGTAGAAAATAATATTTGTGAAGTTACACATATTTTGTGTATTGGGTTCTTTTTTTTTTTTTTTTACTATTTTAAATTACTGATTACCTCTTTACTTATATTCAATATTAAAATCGAAGATGCGCGAATCGGTGCAACGTCATATTGTAAAATGGCATTCTATTTGTTTTTGCCTCTTATTATCATACATTTGCAATCCGTCTTTTATGCACGTTTTATTAGACATGACGGACAAATAACATGTTGCGATTTTTTTCTTGTCTTTTATGCACGTTTTATTAGACATGACGGACAAATAACATGTTGCGATTTTTTTCTTGTCTTTTATGCACGTTTTATTAGATATGACGGACAAATAACATGTTGCGATTTTTTTCTTGTCTTTACAATTTTTCTTTTTTTGAGTAGTGTATGTGTGGAGAAATTGTTCATGGTGCTGGTCACCCCCGCTCCTTCGCTTTCGACTAATACTTTAGCCATTTTTAAGGGGTAGAATTTTCCGAGTTAACGGAGAAAAATAATATATTTTGTTTTATCAAGTGTGTTGTACGAGAAGAATTTTTGCAGCAGCCAATTCTTTTTAGAGGAATGTTGCTTAGTTTTCGAATACGGTCAGAACATACCGGTTGCGTCCGTCCCGGGTATGACGATAAACTAGCAAGGCCTCTTATCAGGAGGTTTTGAGGACAGTAGAACAGCCTCTTAATTGCTGGTGTTCCTAGGTCCACCCTGACCTGGGGTGGTAGCATCTGTTAGGGTCCCACCTATGGGCAAATAGTTAGTCCCCAAACTGGGATCAAAACATTATGAAAGTGTAAAAATAGGTATTAATTCGAGAAATACTTTGTAAAATTATTACCAGCAATAAATCTTTGAAGGAATAAATTATTACCAGCAATACATTTTTGAAAAAAAATTATTACCAGTTATAAATTTTTTGAAAAAAAAAAATATTACCAGCAAGATATTTTTGAAGAAAAAATATTACCAGAAATAGATTTTTTGAAGGAAAAATATATTACCAGTAAGACATTTTTTTAAAAAAATATTATCAGCAATAAAAATTTTGTCGACATTAAATAACCCATTGAGGTTGACATGCCGTAAACCAAACCAAACCAAACCAAACCAAATCAAACCAAACCAAACCAAACCGAACCAAATCATACCGGCCGCGTTCGATAGCGGTGCTATTAAGTGATGGTCTGGTGCTTTTTGCGGGAAGGGTTTCAAATATGTTCTGACTTTTAAAAAAAATTCTTTCACTCCAACGCAATTGGATGCAAGTGTGTTTTTAAACGTTTGCTTATTGTGTTAAGGTCACAAATGTGATTGGCAAGGTGTCTCCTGAGAATACTCGTCGAGGGGGAATACTCCGAGAAACTGACAAGCCTAATTGGGAAATGGTAGCTATAGCTGAAAAAGAACCAAACCCCAAAAACCAACAGGAAGCTGTCACAGATCCTAAATGCTAAAACTACTTCCCTTTGAATAAATATAGACGACTGGCTCAATCAAGCAAAAATAAATAAATAAATGAATAAATAAATAAATAAAAAAAAAATAAAAACAAATGGTTAACTCAAGACCTTCTATCATTCAAAATAAATACATATATAAATGTGATTTCCTATAAAAAGGAACCTTGCTGTATTATTCGTTCTCTGTGGCTAAGTGGTCTAAGGCGCGTCGGATCAAATGGTGGTTTCTCTTACAATGGGGGAAGCAGTTTCGGGCCCTGCAGAGGAGCACATTTTCTTTATTAAAAGACTCTCGAGTACGCAGGCCGATAGATGTAATGCACACATTTTAAAATAAAAATGGAGGCCTTCTGGGTGATTAATTATTTTTTACGTTACGAAACCGAAGCCATGACATTCCTTAGTACCAAAACTCTAACCCTCACAGCTATGACCAACCTTGCCACTTACACTGAAGCGAACCATCTTCATTTCCTTCCTATTCCATTAGTAAGAAGGATGATCCACCTGAACAGCTTTTTTTTTTACCCACAAACCGCTATTTTGAGGAATCTTTTTGACCACTACAATCAAGCTCTTCAAGTTAACCGTTATCTTTCTCATATATTCTCAAAAACTGCGCCTTTTACCCTTTTTTCAAATTTATTTAGCAGATCATTACTATTCTACTTAATTTGATTCTTCCTGGGTGCTCTACACTTGTATGTAGTCCTGTGTCATGCTAAGCTGAGTAAATGAATATGCGAATGAAATTTTAGTTTTTAAAAAGATGTATGTTAAAATAACTGCTCTCTTGTTGGTGGGTTTGTTTGCATCTTTCATGTGTATTAAAAAGTTCTTTTAAATGAATTTAACATAGGGCACTTTTACATGGGCGAGAAAAGTAATATACAAATAATTTATATACAAATACATTTAAAAGCAGCATAAAACAACAATATATTAAAAAAAAACAGCAAGAATAAAAATATTAAAACTCTGGTCTTTTGAACAAGAGTAGAGATTTATCTCTTGTTTCCTCTTCGGTATTGGGCTTATGGTTCCTTCTAAAGTCTTCTTATTGTCTTACACTCCCAGTATTCCCTTGCGTCTTAGTGGCATTATCGTTTTGCTTGGGGTGAATTGAAAAAAACAAAAACAAAAACAAAAAAACAAACATAACAAACAAACCAAAAACAAAGTAAAACACAAAACAAAAATCCATCATTTTCAAGTGAAATCCACAAGTCAAAGGGAGATAAATCTGTTTTCAGACTAAAATTATGATTTCATCCATTGTTTATGACTAAGGAGAAAATGTGTAAAACAATATTAGGTTCTGTTTGGGAGAAAAATATAGAGAAAATGAAAAACGTGTAAAATAAATAAACTGTCAGACTGGGTTTCATTAAACTAAACAACAAAATGCATGCTAGTGGGATCGCGTATTTTAGACTTAGATTTTGGGGGGGATTTCGAAATGCATCATCAGAATTTTTCTAACTCGTCAATTTTTCTAACAGGATTTTGTCGTGCTATGCGTATTCCCATGATCGAAGACACTTGGTCTTATACGGGCAACAAAAAGAACACCTTTTTGCCTGATACCCAGACTGATGATACTGTGTTAAAGTAAATAAAATACTCTGATTCCAAATCTATGACTTTGAAAGTACCGTAGTGACGCTTATTTTGCCTTTATTGGTATCACATGATTCTTCTTGGTCTATCAGTATACATATACATCCAGGGTGCTAAAGGGAGGGGCAACGGAGCGAAATTGCTGAATTTGCTGAAATTGACCAATAAACAGAAGAATCTGTTTCCTTATCTATGATAATGTTACTTAGCACGGCTGTATCAGTTGTCTAAAATCATTACTGCCATTAATTTTTTTAAATAAATTAGAACGTTTCATTTTCCGTTATTCCTTTATTATTTATTTGAAACATTAACATCTACATTTTTTTAAATGTTTTATTTGCGGAAAAAAGTTTACAGGTTTCATTCTCGAAAATAAATACAAGTGAAAAGAAGAGAAAAATGTAGAGTAAATTTAAAAAAAAAAGTCTGCAGTAGGATAATAAAAAAATATTTTTCAAGAGGATCAATTAAAAAAAACATATGATGTAGAATCTTAAAAAAGTCAATATTCCGATTTTAGCCCCTATATTTTTTTTTATTTTGTGGCGTTGTTCCATCAAAGATATATTCACTCAGACAAGCATGACTAAAAAGAACCGAAAAGGTATGTCTGT